AACAAACCCCGAGTCTGGGAGTGCTTTGGTCTCTCTCCTTCTGTCCTTTTGGATATCAGGAGGGATTTCTCTCTGGGAAGGGTGGTCAGGCCCTGGCAGGGGCTGCCCAGGGAGGTTTGGAGTGCCCAGCCCTGGAGGTGTCCAAGGCAGACCTGGCTGTGGCACTCAGTGCTCTGGGCTGGGGGACAGGGTGGGGATGGGGCACAGGGGGGATTCCATGGCTCTGGAGCCAGGCTGGGAGAGCTGGGGGGGTTCCCTTGGAGAAGAGAAGGCTCCAGGGAGAGCTGAGAGCCCCTGGCAGGGCCTAAAGGGGCTCCAGGAGAGCTGGAGAGGGACTGGGGACAAGGCATGGAGGGACAGCACACAGGGAATGGCTTCCCACTGCCAGAGGGCAGGGACAGATGGGATATTGGGAAGGAATTGCTGGCTGGGAGGGTGGGCAGTCCCTGGCACAGGCTGGGCAGAGAAGGGCTGTGGTGGATCCAGGTGAATCCAGACTGTGCAGGTGAGAGGAGAAGGGAGGGGATGTGCTGGAGTTGCCTGTCAGAGGTGCTGATTTCAGTGTTAATCCTGTATTTTCCCATGAATTAAGAGGAAGGGGAGGTTTGGCAGCCCTGGCACTCAACACTTATGGCCCCTTCACCTTGGAGAGTTACCAATCCTCGCTGGAATTGTGGGAATAGGGTGCTGTCACTCCAAAGGATCCTATTTGAGAGCTGATGGAGCCCCTTTGCTAAAATATTGTCGGTAAATGAAGGCATAAATTGGTGATAACTCACCTTCCAGAGGCATCCTGGCTTTTCCTGAGCATCCAGGAGCTGCACAGAGCCAGAGGTCCTGCGGCTCCAGCCCTGCAGAGCCAGAGCAGGACACACCAGGAGTGCCAGGATTTCCCTGGGATGAGAGGAACCAGGTTCTGCCCACCCCCTCTAACAGCCCTTTTATTTCCCCTGCTTTTCTTGCCTGGTGGGATTTTAGGAGCATTTCTGGAGCTTGGACAAGACAGAAAACAAGATCCCACCACAGCTGATCCTGCAGATCTGGGACAACGACAAGTTCTCCTTCGATGACTATTTGGGTGAGTTGGGGGGGGGGGTTTGATTCCATCCCTCCTGGGGCAGCAGGAAGGGAAAAATTCCTGGAAAACAGGGCCTGGAAAAGCTGTGGCTGCCCCTGGATCCCTGGAAGTGCCCAAGGCCGGGTTGGACGGGGCTTGGAGCAACCTGGGCTGGAGGAGGTCGTGGTTTGGAGCTGGGGGGTCTGGGTGGCCCAAACTCCCTGAGATCAGGAAGGAGCCACAAGGGGAGAGTCCTCAGGGGAAGTGTCCACATTTTTAAGGACCTTTGCGCTGAAGTGTCCCACCTGTGACATCCCTCCTTGCAGGCTCCATCCAGATGGATCTCAACAGGATGCCCAGACCCGCCAAGACGGCCGAGAAGTGCTCCCTGGAGCTCCTGGACGACACGGTGTCCTCCAGCCGCTTTGTGTCCCTCTTTGAGCAGAAAACTGTCAAGGGCTGGTGGCCCTGTGGGGCTGAGCAGGACCAGAAGAAGATCCTGGCGGTGAGGAGGCCCCTCCACGTGTTCCCATGGGATTCACTCCAAATCCCCATCCCTGGAGGTGTCCCAGGCCAGGCTGGATGGGTGCTTGGAGCAGCCTGGGGTAGTGGGAGGTGTCCCTGCTCATGGCAGGGGGTGGAACTCGACATCTGTAAGGTCTGGAATGGGATGATCCTTAAGGTCCTTCCCAAGCCAAACCATTCCAGGATCCCCTGGAAGCTTTGAGGAGGGAGGTGTCCTGGCCAAGCACCCGCAGGATGCCACGGTCAGGGCAAGAAATGGAGCTTTGGGCTGTAAATTCTCCCTTTACTTGGATTGTGGGATTTTTTTTCACTGTGGGTTTTGGAATGTGCCACCGGATCTGACCCTGGGACACACCTGTTCCTGGGGATCAGGAGAAGCACCAGGGAAAGGCTCCAGATGTCCCATTTTGGTGCATGGAAATGTGTCCTGGTCGAGGGTTTGGTGGTCCAGGTGATCCAGGTAAAGGAGTCCAGGCGGTGAATGGAGCCATTCCACAAAAACCACCCCTGAGTTTGGTTCAGGGGGGAATCAGGACTGAGGGAATCAGGAAAGGCTGGACTCGGTGCCGTGGTCTGGTTGACACGGTGGTGGTTGGTCACAGGTTGGATTTGATGGTCTTGGAGGTCTTGTCCAAGCTCAGTGATCCTGTAGCTTCCCAAACCTGGGTGTCAGTGGCATTTGGGATCTCCTGGAGTATCCCCAGTGGCCCACTGAGGGATCTCTGGACTCTTCCTGGTTTCCTCGTGGTCCTCGTGGGTGCTCTCCGGGCTTTGCTCAAAGCGGATTTTTTTCTCCCAATCCATCTTTTCCACCCCACCCCTTTCTCACCCCTCCCCTCTTTTTTTGGGATTCTGACTGTGCTCTGCCCGTCCCCCCCAGGGCAAGCTGGAGATGACTCTGGAGATCGTGGCCGAGCAGGAGCACGAGGAGCGCCCGGCTGGGCTGGGCCGGGACGAGCCCAACATGAACCCCCGGCTGGAGGACCCCAAGTGAGGACACCCCCAGGGGGAAAATCAACCCCCTGGGGCACGGGGGGCAAATGGGAATTCGGGGTGCCCAGCTGGGCTGGGCTGGAGCACCAGGGAGGACGCTGGGGGGACATTCCCAGGGGGATGGAGGAGCTGGGACAGTCCAGGTGGGATGGGCAGCTGGTCTGGACCACCAGGAAGGCCATGAGTGGCTCATTCCCAGAGGGATGTGGGCTCTCAGGCCACGCTGCTGGGATTGGGGATCCAGGAGGGTGAAGCTCTGAACTCTTCCCGGCTCCAGGCGCCCCGAAACCTCCTTCCTGTGGTTCACCTCACCCTACAAGACCCTCAAGTACATCCTGTGGAGGAGGTACAAGTGGATGCTGATCCTGTTCATCATCCTCATCATCCTGCTGCTCTTCCTGGGAATCTTCATCTACGCCTTCCCGGTACCGAGGGGTGGGGGTCAGGGGGGCTGGGCAGGGTCAGGGGACAATCCCCCAGGGTGTGGGGGGTGACTCCAGTGCAGGGGGCCGGAAAATCCAGTGCTGGTCCCTGAGGAACAACTTGGGGGATTGTGGGGGGGGGTCAAAAGGCATTTTGGGTTTGGATCATTGC